GCAGAGGGATGGGGTCTAGGGCTCCGGTTTCTTGATTCTGCGCGACTTGCAGCTTCGGATCTTTGGGCAGCCGTGGAGACCAGGGGGTGTGGGTAGGCCGCGGAGCCGACTGCGTCCCTTCTCCTTTTCCGAGGCCAGCCGAAACAAAAATCAAAAAATTGCGAAAAACATCTCTCGTCGCGATTTGTTGCCTTACTCGAGGGGTCTGGGTCCTCCCCTCCTTGGTCGCGTCGCGATTCGCGCCGGCGCGGTCTGGGCATCTGCCGCTCCTGCACCATTCCCAGACGGCGCCTTCGCGGATCGTGACGTGACCGGCACCCTGCCCCCTCCCCCAGGGCACGCCCGTCGTCGCCAGGGGTGAAGAGGTCCCCAGGAGGCAACAAGCGCTTTCGTTTGCAGCCAAGTACGCTTCTCGGTCTCTCTCTCTCTCTCTCTCTCTCGCTCAGCGGCTGGCTCCCTCCGCTCCTCCAAAAAGGGCGCCGGAGAGGCCCGCCTCTCTTGACCCCCCGTTCACTTCCCCCCGTGGCCGCTGACGTCCGCCCGCCCGCCCGACCGGCCCTCCCCACCCCTCGCCTGGCCATGCCGCGAGTCGCGCCGGCGCTGTCCGGGAACGGCCATGGGGCGTCCAGTCCCCGGGCGGCGCGCAGGTGCAGATCGTGTCGCTTTGCTTCGGGCTCTGGGGCCCTTGCAGATCGGTCCGGCCGGAAAGGTGCAGCAGAGGGATGGGGTCCAGGGCTCTGGTTTCTTGATTCTGCGCGACTTGCAGCTTCGGATCTTTGGGCAGCCGTGGAGACCAGGGGGGCCCTCGCCACGGTCCGCGCCCACGGTCTGGGAACGGCCATGGGGCGTCCAGTCCCCGGGCGGCGCGCAGGTGCAGATCGTGTCGCTGCCAGCCGCCTCTGCCCGCCCCCCCTCGGGGGTTGCCAAGGAGGTCCCTGGCCCAGGGTGCCGCCAGCGCTTCGTGCCGTGTCGGGGCCCCTGAGGCTTTCGGGGGTCCTGGCGGGGGGTGCTCCCAGGGGGGGCCACCTGGGCCTCCCTGCAACGCCTGCGCCAGGACCTCCTCTGGCAGCACCCGGCCCCGCCCTTGTTACGCCTGGTATCACGAGAGGGTGACAATCCGGATTTTACGAAACGTCGGGGCAGCAGCGCCACCGTTCTGAAGTTCTCGTCGAGCTCTGGATCGTGCGGCCCCGCGACCCCCGAGAAAACGCGCAACACTCCCGAAAGCCCCTGGTTCCTGGGCCCTCTGGGCCTCAGAGCTTGCAGGGCATGTTGCGATCGAGGGTTGCAGGAAGGTCGCCCCAAGAGGGGCCCTAAAGAGGCCCGCAGGCTGCCTTCCCGCACCCAAAAGGGTGCTCGGAAGGCGTCCGACCAGCCGACTCAGACCCCTCCTGGCGAGGTAGCGACTCGCACCCGCGCGGTCTGGAAACGGCAATCGTCCGCGAGCCGCGCACCTGAGGTCGCTTGCCCAGGGGAGCTCTGGCGCAACCGCAGCCGAGCGAGGTTGCGAGCCGTGGCAGGGACCTTCAAGCTTCGAGTTGCGGGCAGGGTCGAGATCACCCCGATGCCCTCGACAGCCCTCCTCCCCGCCGGTGCCAGGGGAGGGCAGAACAAAGACCAAGAGGACGGAGCCAAGAGGGCACCCACACAAGCGCAAGCTGCTCCTCACCTCCTCCTCCTCCTCCTCCTCCTCCTCCTCCTCCTCTGGGCCTGCGGTGGGGCCCTCCTCGTCGCCACGGCCAGGGCCTGCCCTGAGGGCCTGGTCGGAGCGCGCCCGGGGAGAGGTCCAGTGATCGCTTCTTCGGGCCTGGGGGTGGTATTGAGTCGGGCCTGTCCCTCTACAGGAGGGAAGCTCAAAAATAGTCAAAACATAGTCTGGGGACGACTTTTTGATGAAAGTTCCATAATTGTTTGGCTACGTTTTAACTTTCGTCCAACAGCCCCCTCGTAGGAGGACATGCCCGACCTAGGGGTAGTAGTAGTGTGAGCCCTGGAATTGTAAACAAAGGTGCGGGCCCTCCCTTCCCGGCAGGGAACAAAGCTCCCAGCGTCGAAAGATTTGTGATTCTCCCCCCCGGGGGTCGTCGTCGTCGTCGGCGGTTGGCCGTCGTCGTTCGTCGTCGCGCTATTCTCTGCCCGACGTCGCCGGCGATCTTGGGCCGCCGAAGCATTTTATATTTTTCGCCCCAAGGAAAGCTTTATTGTACATTAGCCATATTTTTGGCCCAGTCCCTCCGCCGTAGCTGGGGCCTGTTTTTCTATTTTCCGCGATCGTAGCCGTCACCGGCCCCGCGCCACGTCACGTTCCAGGCTGGCGGCGTCTGGGAATACCGAGGGATGACCGAGGCTGAGCAGCATGTAGGTGGCGATTTGCACCACAGCGACTGTGTACACCAGAGTGCCTGCGTGCACCACTGCGCGCGTGTACACCACAGCGCCTGTGTACACTGCAACAGCCGTGTGCAACGCAGCGCCTGTGTACACCACAGTGCTTGCGTGCACCACAGCGCCTGTGTACACCACAGCGAATGTGTACACAGCAGCAGCGGTCTGCAGCACAGCGCCCGCGTACACCACGGTGCTTGCGTGCACCGCAGCGCCTGTGCACACCACAGCGCTTGTGTACACCACAGCACCCGCGTGCAACACAGCGCTGGTGTACACCACAGTGCCTGCGTGTACAGGACAGGTAGAAGGAGCATGTAGTTGAGGATCTCCTGCGGACAGCTAAACACCACGCTAGGGAAGTGCCGAGAAATGCTGAGAATAGAATGCGATTTTTTCCCTCCCCTCCTCCTCCTCCTCCTCCTCCTCCTCCTGCTCCTCCTCCTCCTTCTCCCTCGCACGTCCCCCCGTCGCGCGGGTCGGCGCTACCGCGCATGTGCGCGCTGTACAATGCACGCTCCGAGCTGGTGTTAAAGCGATCCCGGAAAAATAGTCGATTGAATCAGTCCATTTGGGTTCCGGACGGCCAACTCTGCAGGAGTCTTTTGGACGCACACGGGAGGAGTTAGGATGATGCGGGAGGACTCGGGTGGACTCGTAGATTCCAGAGGCGCTCATTTGTCCATCCAAATCCTATATAAAACAATTGTTTTCCGTGCAATCCGCAAGCGCTCCATTTTGTGACAAGGATTCGTTCTGACATTCTATATGCAAGACTTGTGTTCTGTTGCGCACGGTTGTTGTGGTGCAGACAGGCGCTGTGGTGTACACAGGCGCTGTGGTGCACGCAAGCATTGTGGTGCATACAGGCGCTGCGTTGCACACGGCTGCTGTGGTGTACGCAGGTATTGTGGTGTACATTGGCGCTATGGTGCACGCAGGCACTCTGGTGCACACTGGCGCTGTCTTGCACACGGCTGCTGTAGTGTACATAGGCGCTGTGGTGTAGACAGGCGTTGTGGTGCACGCAGGCATTGTGGTTCGCACACGCGCTGTCGAGCAGATCGCCACCTACATGCTTTTCTACCCGTCCCCGGTCATTCCTAGGCATTCCAAGACGCCGCCAGCGCGAAACGTGACGTCACCGGCCCCCTTTCCCCCGTCCTCCCGGTGACGCTCGTATCGCTCCAGAATAAAAACAAAAACAGGCTCCTGCCAGAGCCGTTCGTGTCGCGCTGATCGGCTGGTCGGCCTCCCTCCCGGCGGTCACGGCTGCGGCCTTGATGCGCCCCCTATGACGCGGGCACCCCGCCTCAGATCGCCCGAGGTCGAACACCTTCGTCTTGATCGGGCGCCTCTGGTGCGTGCGTTTGTGAATCGTCGGGCAGGAGTTCTGCAGGCGTGAGAGCATTGCGACACCGATGCCCCGCAGGCAAGCGTCTTGCAGCTGCCGCAGCCATCGGTGCTGCTCTCGAGCAGTGATCGGCGACCGTCGGACGACAGAACAGTCTCCGGTTTTTTCGTACGGGGATCGTTCTCGTGGCCCGCGCCACGCACAACAATGCACGCCGTGTTGTGTGTTGTGCTGGTTGGGTTAGTACATCATGCCTCGCTTGGCGCCCCCTGCTCCACTGCCCAGTCCAGCGAAGTAGCATCGTATCACACTTTGGCATGTCTCTATCTGGCGGCTGGGTGGGCGTACCCACTGGGAGTCCTGCGTGGATGGGGCAGTCATGCGTGGATGGGTGGGCCAGCAGGTCGCGCGTTGGCAGATGGAAAGGCGGAGCGTGTGCGCATCGAAGGCATGAGAAGAGCGCCAGAGGGCCGGAGGGACGGATGGCACGGGCGCGCGCATGTATTCATTTGAAGTCGGGCATGTCCTTCTACAGGGGGAGTATCAAACAATAGCAAAAATAGAATGGTCGGGGGACGATTGCTCGACTATTCTCGATTTTTTTGAGTATGTTATGACGTTTTTCATTTTTCCTTGAAAAGCCGCGCGACCTGATAGTCATCCACGGCCAGGCCCGCTGGGCCCGAGGCCCTCCAGCCCGCCGGCGCGCGCCGCCGCGGTGCCGCGGCGCGCATGCCGTGCCGGCGGCATGCCGCGCCCGCGCGCAGGGCCCGCGGGGGCGCCCGCCGCGGCGCGGCGCGCTCCGCCGCGCGCGCGGCGCGGTGGCTCTGGTGGTCGGGGTGCCCGCGCGCTGGGGCGGGCACGCGGGTGGCCGACGCCAGGCGGTCGGAGGTCCGAAAACGGCCCCGTTCGAAGGAGGAAGAAGCGCCACAAACATAAAACTTATGGCGCTCCGCGCGGGCTTCTTGGATCCAAGAAGAAAGCCGCGCGCAGCGCCCCAACAGCTTAGTTTTATGTTTTTACCTTCCTTCTTCCTTCTTCTTCTTCTTTCTTCTTCCTCCTCCTGTTTTCTTCTTCTTCTTCTTTATTATTTTTCTTCTTCTTCGCCAACAGCTTGTGTTTCTGTTTTTGTTTTTTCGTCTTCTTCTTCTTCTTCTTCTAGAAAACGGCCCTTCTTCTTCCTTCTTTCTTTGTCTTCCTTCCTTCTTTCTTCATGTTCTTCTTCTTCTTCCTTCTTTATTTATTTTTCTTTCTGTTTTGTTCTTCCTTCTTTCTTCTTCTTCTCCTTCTTTCTTATTCTTCTTCTTCTTCTAGAACACGGCCCAGTGGCCGCACGGCCAGGCGAGCTTGGGGCTTTGGCAGCCAAGACTCCGCGGGGCAGCGGGGCTGTGCCACTGCCAGACGGAGGGCGCGAGGGGTGGAGTGGCCGTTTCGGCCCACGGCTGCCCCTGTCTCGGGCGTGCCAATGTTCGACTATAGTCAGGAGCGAAAGAGGAACGTACACGTACATGAATCCACGCTGGTTTCGAGATTTCGCATTGCGCGAATGGTCGTATCACGCGGCCGGTCTCGCGGGTCAAGGGACCGTGTTCATGTATATAGCTGGGCGCGTACGTCCTTTGTGGGCTCCCTATATAGGGGATCGATTGCATAATTGATTTATACCCTGAAATTGATTTCCCCGTCGGATCTGCGAACAAGTGCGTAGAGTGCTCCGTAGATCTCGGAGCATCCTGCGCATGTCTCGCAGTTTCGGCTGAGAGATGGATTTTGGGGTAAATCAGGTGTGTAGTCGATCTCCTACTCGAAATGTCCTCGTTCATCGCAGTCCCCGTTCAAGAATCTACGGGGCCCTGACGAGGCGCCCGGGCATCTCTGGTTCGCTGGACCGCCTGGTCCGACGCGGTCCAAACAGAAGATCGGGGAGATCGTCGGTCAGCATGTCACCTGACACTGTTTCGGGGCCGTGAAGAGGTGCCTTCTGGAGGTGCAGGCCAGTTTCACAACCGTCAAGGAGTTCAGCTTCGTGCCGTTTTCGTATTACACCCAGTCCGACGACCTGGTGGCTGGGTGCGTGAAGGCCGGAATGAACAGCTGGAGGGTTGAGAGAAATCTGGTTGTCTGCCTGCCCCGCATTTGCACCCCGAGGTTCATGGCGGCAGGGTTGCTGAAGCACACGGTTCCGGCGCTCTTGGTGCGCGATGTCGCTGGCGTGGACCTCGACTCCGCATCCGTGAATATCACAGACGCGGTGCGGTTGCAACCGTTGAGTTCGGTACACCTGGACTTCATCATCGCTGGTTACTGCCACTCAGGGACAACCTCGCTCCACCACCACCTTCGCTCGCACCCGAGCGTGGACATGTGGCACAAGGAGGTGCACGAGCTCCTCTGGCAGCCGGTGTTCACAAGGGCAGAGCTGAGGCACCTGACCAGCATGAGGAGGGACAGGACGCGGGGCATCCGCTCCACCTGGGCTGGAACGGCCCCTGGCCTCTTCAACAGGCTAAGCGCCCTGCCCAGCAGGCCAAAGATGATCGTCATGGCCCGCGACCCCCTCTCGCAGCTGGACTCGATACTGAGCCACGGCACGACCGCGTTCTTCAACCCGATCGGCCAGGAGTTGGGCATGGACCTGGTCAGGACGGGGACCAACGCCGTGTACAACATGCAGGCCAGTATGTTGGAGGAGCGCGTGCTGGTGGTGCCCACGCTGCGGCTCTCGATCGCGCCCGACGAGACCATCCGGGGGCTGCCAACGGTGTCCCCGGCCCAAGGTGCCCCGATCCCTTCGCGCCTTTCTGCAGCCCCTGGGCCTCATGAGGGGTGCTCTTTTGAGGTCACCTGGGCCTCCGCTGGAGCAGCTTGGGCCACCCTCTATCTCCTCCGACACAGTTTTCTTTCCCACGACGTCGGCCTCTAGGGATCTCGATTCTTTCAGTGTGCCAGCTTTTCATCCTGGGTGGATTTTTGCAGGTCACGGGGCCGAGAAACGGCCCCCAGAGGCCGAAAATTGAGAAACGCCGGCCGTGACGATCTTTCGGAGTGTCGCCTGGATGTGAGGACTGGGCCAGGGCCACCTTGGCAGCACCCGAGCCATGGCCACGGTGCAGCACTGGCTCGGGCTCCCGCCGGACCACGGCCACAGGTCGGCGTCACCCCAACATACTCATACTACATGTGCGTGGCCCCCCCCCCTCCCCAGGGGCGACGCGCGCGCCGAGAAGTCTCATAGTCTCATGATAGAATGCGTCGTGGCGGGCGCTTCTTGGCCACACCGCTGGGGAACCGATACACTACAAGATGGGTATACTCTATGCTCGGGTCGGACGCGCGCCTTCAAGGGCCGACGTGCAGTACTGGTATGCCCTTGTGCCTCCCAGCAGGCGGCACGGGCGTCGCCACGTGCGGCCCACGCGCCTGCCGGTGCGCGGCCGGCAGACGCTGTGCGACGTGCCCGCCAGCTGGCGGCCCGACTCGGTGGCGGAGCTGGGCGGCCTGGGCTTCCTGGACCTGCTGCACGGTGCCCTCGCGCGGGAACGGGAGCGGCTGAGGCCGGAGAAGAGGAAAAGCACACGGCATGAGCAGAGGCTAGCCAGCGTGGGCCCCAAACAGCATGTCTCTAGCAACCCATGCCGTGCAATCTATGTGGAGCAATCTATGTGGTGCATTCTTATGATGTGGAGCAGCAGATGTGGTTCGATCTATGCTGTGCAATATGGGTGGTGTTCTATGTGTGGTGCAACCTCTGTGGAGCAACCTACGTGGCGCAAAGTGTATGGTGCAACATATGTGGTGCAATAATGTATATATGTATATATTTATAAGCAGATGGAATCATCGACGTGTAGCTATCTATGTGGTGCAATCTATCTCTGTGGTGCAATCTCTGTCTGTCGCGCAATCTCTGTGGTACAGTTTGTGAGTTTACATATATATATATATATATATATACACATTTATCGCGCAATATATGTGGAATTATCTATGTGCTGCGCTTTTTGTTTTGCGCCACATATGTGGTGCAATCTATGTTGTGCGGCGGCGACGGCGACAGCATGGCCGCCAGACAGCCACCGAGGCCCAGACGGCGGGCGGCGACGTGACGGCGGCGGGTCGGCGACAGCGACAACGTAGCCGCCAGACCGCCACACAGGCCCAGACGACGGGCGGCGACGAGGTGGCGACGGGGCGACGACGGCGACAACACAGCCACGAGACCGCCACACAGGCCCAGACGACGTGCGGCGATAAGGCGGCGACGGGGTGGTGACGGCGACCACGTAGCCGCGAGACCGCCACACAGGCCCATCTCCTCAGAAAAGAGTTTGAATAACCTCGAAGCGCAAGCACTGTGTCGGGAATGAGCTTTCGAAGGTCCGCGCGGATCTCTCGGCGCAGCCGGTCTACGAAGCCCCCCGCCGCGCGGACCTTCGACAGCTTGGCATGCTCTGTGCCGGTCTCTGCCATCCTGCCTGTGAGGGCCCTGCTGGGCTTCTTCAGCTGGCCGGCGCCCCTGCTGCACGCCTTCGCAGGGCCTCCGAGAAACGGGGACTCCTGACACACGCCAGGACGTGGGCGCCCCCGCCTAGAGAAGCTGCAGCCGTGGATATCGAGGAACATTCTCCGCTCGGGGTCATTCTCCGTTCTCCGGGCTCTCTCTTTCCGGCCGTGACTTTCAGAGTCCTGGGCAGCAGTGTTTGCGGCCGCTTTGACGGGCCTGTTTTCCACCAAGAAGGCGGAGGATTAGGAGGAGGAGGAGGAAGAGGAGCAGGGTGGATCCCCTCCCCCTTGTACTTGTGGTGGTGGCGGTGGAAAACAGGCCCATCACTCCCGGATGGGGTTGGAGTGAATGGGGTCTCGAGGATCGCGCCGCATCGCCGATGCATCGGCGAGGCAGCTCGATGTGGTGCCCGACGGTCTCCATGCCGGCGTCGCCGATGCACTGCTGGCGTCGCCGCTGCATCGTCGATGCGTCGCCGATGCACTGGCGATGCGGCGCGATCCTGCGACCCCGTCCACTCGGACTCCATCCGGGAGGCCTCTCCCCAGACTCCCGACGTCATGATTTTTTCGTGACGTCGACCCCCAGAGGTCTCGACCTGTCATTCCCCGGGGCCGGCTCTTCGTCCCGAGTCGTTTTTTTGGTGGTCCCGAGGCCCGGGAAGGGCCCCCAGAGGCCGAGAGTGGCGAAAAGCCTCCCGTCGTGATTTTTGCATCGCTCGACGGGGGCCTGGGCCAATGCCCCGCTCGGGGGCGACGCGCGCTCCGAGAGATCTTACAGTGTGCGTGCGTGTGTGTGTGTGTCGTGGAGGGCGCTTTCTTGGCCACACCGCTCGGCAAACGATCTGCTGCGAGGTGGGTGCACCAGATGTTCGGGTCGGACGCGCGCCTCCCGAGGGCGGACACGCAGTACTGGTATGTCCGAGCACTTTCTCGGGGTGGAGGGCAAAGGGCGACATCTGGAATGCCGTTGCGATGGGCTTTCGAGGCTTGCATCTGCAGAAGGAGAATCACAGGACGGATTGATTTTCGAGGTGCCAGAGCCCATATGGATTTCACCCTGAGCCCTCCACCCTAGAAAATGCTCAGATGTCTGTTTGCGTCCCATGGGGGGCTTCTCAATGCCCCTGGCTTCAGGGGGCCCTGCCTTCTCCTGGGAGGCCTCTCAATTCGGGCGAGGAGAACGATGCACCTGCACCGATCCTGGCCAGGCTTAATTAAGTCGGGCCCATCCCTCTACAGGGGGAATATGAGAACATAAGCAAACAAAAAAGATGGGGACGATTTGTCCATATTTGAGTTGACATTTTTTTGGTTGCATGTTTTTGATTTTTCGTGCAAGATACCTGTAGGAGGACATGCCCGACCTTGGGCCAGGCCCATCCTGGGCCCAGGATCGATGCATCTGCCTCCCTGGCCGAGCCACAGAGGCGTATGGCAACGATCCTGGGCCCAGGATGGGCCTGGCCAGGATCCGTGCATGTGCATCGTTCTCTTTGGGGAGGAGGAGCAGAAGGAGGAGGAGGAGGAGGAGGAGGAGGAGGAGGAGGAGGAGAAGGAGGAGGAGGAGGAGCAGAAGGAGGAGCAGAGAGGAGGAGGAGGAGGAGGAGGAGGAGAGGAGGAGGAGGAGGGAGGAGGAGGAGGAGGAGGAGGCGTGATTGCCTCATCGCTCGAGGGGGCCCGGGCCAGGGCCCTTGGTTTCAGGGGGGCCCTGCCTTCTCCTGCCCCGGCGGCCCCGCCGTGCCGAGCGGCGAGGCGCTCGGCCTGGGCGCCCGAGGCTTCTGCGCCGCGGCGGCCGCGCTGCGGGGCGCCGGGTCGCTGGGCGCCGCCTGCCCCACTGGCGCCGCCTGCGAGGAGTGCTGCGTGCGGCAGCAGGCCGCGTGCCCGCTGGACCTCGGGGGGAGGAAGGTCGGAAGCTGGAGCATCTACGTTACCAGTGGCGGGTTGTTCTTTCAATCCCAAGACTTTTTGAGGGTCGGGGGCGACGTCGGGGCGGTGTGGTGTATACTTTTCTCCGTTTTCCACGGGAAACAATGGAACATGTATACACCAGGATGCCGTATATACCAGGATCCGTTTTCCTGTGCAAACTTCCATGTGGGGCCGCAAAAAGCATTGGTGTATAGAGTTCCGTTCCCTAGAAGGAGCCATCGCGAGCAAGAGAGCCCCTAACCTTTCGTCGGGCATGTCCCTCTACAGGAGGAATGCTTAAACATTTTTTTTTTTTAACAAATAGTTTTGGGACGATGTTCCTGCATTTTTTGGTATTTGTTCAATCGTTGCTGAGTATTTGTTATCTATCGTCCACACTCCGCCTGTAGAAGGACATGCCCGACATAACCCTAAGAACACGATGAAGACGTGACCTCACTTGGGTCCCCGTCGTCGCACTTGGGATAGTAGATCTGGGCGGCCTGGCCTGAAAGCACTGCAGAAAAGACCATCTGCCCCAAATTTTCCTGCCCCTCCTTACTTAGGTCGCCTCCCAAAGGGTTTGGGTTTTTTATGCATAATGAATTGCGTAAACATAAACTTTTGGCGCTCCGCGCGGATTCCTCGGATCCGCGCTGGGCCCCCCCTTGGCGGCGCCTCCGGCGCCGCCCCTGGTGCGCTCCGCGCGCCATGGAGGGGGGTCCAGCACAGATCCATACCTCAGAGGAGGAAAAGGCACCCATATCGCTACCCTTCGCTCGTTTTCCCCGTTTTGGGCCTCCTGGCAGGCCCTCGTCGCCACCGCTGGATGCGCCTCGAAATCTTGGTCAGAACGCACCCCGGGAGAGGTCCGGGGAGTAGCAGTATCAGTACTCACAATACCGCTGCTCTTGCATCGTTTTCGCCTTTCTTTGGGCAGCCCGGGAGGCCCTCGCCGCCACCGCTGCAGTCGCCTCGAGGTTCCGGCCAGAACGCGCCCCAGGAGAGGTCCGGGGGAGTGGCGGCACCGCCGTTTGCGAAGTAAGCGCCCAACAGTAGAAGTACCGAAGGGGCCTCTCCGACTCCCCGTATCTCAAAGTTGGCGGACAACCGCGCCAGAAGGGAGCGCGACGTGCGCCCGCTCTTGCGAAAGGCCCACCGCTTCTCCATGTGTAGGGGCGAGGGGGGCGCGGGTCGATGGCTTTTTGCCTGGACCCGGCCGGTACCTTTTTTGTTTCTCCGAAGCCAGCACCATGGCCATGGTTCGGGCGTTCCCGAAGAGGTGGCCTCGGTCCAGCCCTCAGATCCAGGCGGCGCAAACACATCGGCGACCCGGGACAGTCAACAACGACCCAGGAGGAAAATCCGGCCCTGGGGAAACGGTCGAGATCCCCTGGGGCCGATGTCATGGCATGGCATGGCTGAGCCGAGCATCCGGAAGGACGCGTGGGCAGAAGAGTGCACGATTGGCAGTTCTTCGTGACAATGCAAGGGACATCTTGCAGATGGATTGCGTGAACACAGAGGCTCGACTGTGAAGCAGAAAAAATGGAGCGTCTCACGACTGACGCAGGAAACGGGAGGGGAGCAGGAGGGGGAGGAAGGAGAGAGGGGGGAGGGGGGGGACGAGGAGCGTGCGGATAGGAGTTACTCACGAGACAAATCGTACACTGACGTCGCCCACTGCTGTCGCGGGCGCCCTCGTTTCCGGCGGCGTGCCCAATTTTTGGGAATGCCATCCGCATCGCACAGTATTTCTTTGATCAGGGAAGGGTCCGGGGACCTGGCGATTCTATTGTACAGAGCTATTTGGCGTTCCTTCAGAGACTCAGATAATGGTGTCGACGACGCCTGCTGCAATACTTCATTGTTGCGAACGCGAGAAAGTCACGAGTGGGGAATACCAAGTAGGCGTCGCAAGCATTCGCAATGGAAGCTGTCCAATCTGGACCTGTCTGCTTTAAAAGATAAAATACATAACATATATGTCGGAGGAGAGGGAAGGTGGTCCCAGCTTTCCCAGAGGAGGCCAATGAGCCCTCAAGGGCACCCCGCACGAGCCCAGAATGGCGCGAAGCGCTCGGGGCACCTCTGGCCAGGGCCACCTTCGGTAACCCCCGAGTAGTGGATCGAGAGCCTCAGCGTGGGCACCAGGAGAGTCCGGGGAGGGGTGATATCGGTGCCTTATTTTTTTGGCACAGC